ACATTGATTCATGGGAAAACTCAGTCACACGGAATCAGGTCAAAAACAGGAAAAAGGAGAATTCTTGATCGTTGACACACACACACACACACACACAGAGCTGTCTGATTTCTACCTAAAGACATGAAGAACTCGTGGCGTCCTCGGATCAGCACCAGTGTTAACGTCGGTGTCGCTCACGTCGTTGGGCTGATGCAGTCATGATGTCAACTCTGCGCGGAGGTTGTGTTGGTCTGAGCCTCAAACTGAGCCTCGACCGAGCGGAAAACGAGGATGTGGTGCAACGACGGTGCGATGATAATAGGAACGCGGTCGGACACGTTGGTCATGAGGAATTTGTGGCTGAGGAAGATCTCAAATCAGGCTGCGACGACGACGACGATGACGATGACGACGACAACGACGACAACGACGACGTCGACCTCTCTGCTACCACAGATGACTTCTCTGGTTCACGTGTTTCCTTCTTTCTTCTTCTAATTACAGTCTCTATTATGACCACACTCATGGCCTCAACCATGGGCGTCCTATGAACATTAGTCACAGGTTTCACAGATTTATAAAGTATATTTTCAGATTTGTGTTGATATTTATTTAAATCATTTCAGTCGACCGTCCGTCTGACAATTAGGTGAAACCAGCAACAACAGAAGGAATACTAATGATTGGATTGAAGTAAACCAACCAAAAAAAACAACTTTTTGGATTTAAAGTTAAACGACATATAATTAAAGGTTTCATAAGGGATAGAAATGAAGAACAAAAAAATAAAAAAAATACAATATAAACCTTGAAATAAATGAGACGTTAGCCCTGTTTATAGCCACGTTTTAGCCAACACAGCTATGCTAACCAAAAAACAAACAGATATTTATTCCGTAGATTTTAAAAAAGCAGGAATTAACCAGAGTTGACCAAAACAAATAAATCTTGTTACAAGTTCCTTAATTTTAGCACAAAGTCTTGATCTCAATAATTGTGACTTCATTCGTGCCAAAAAGAGCAAAAAAAAAAAGTTGTTCATTTTAGCAATGACTTTTTTTTTTCCTCGCAAAATGAAACTTATTTCACACCTGTAGCTTTGACACTTGAGCAATTTAACCTCTTCCTCTTCCTCTTCCTCAGACTCTTTACACCTCAGTATTAATTATTCCAGACCAGTGGAGTCCAGGCATTCTGGGAGATGTAGTCACCTTCTCTTACCCACAATTTATTTACATCCAGACAAATGTGACACAAACGTCACATTCTGAGGATTTCTAAAAAAAAAAGTGCCTCAGCAGAGACTACAGTGAGTGGCTCGGACACAGATGTTGGAGAGAATTCTCTGAAACCTGTCACACTCCCACACCTTTCTGACTCTGATGTTGTTATTTGGCGTTTTGGCCACACTGCCTCAGAGCGACCGCAGATTAAGGCGTGTAGAAAAGTAGTGGATGCTAAACAGTACTACCAAATATGACACAGTAAACAGGCAGCAGTAATATTATCATGAATCAAAACCCATGTTCAGATCAGAGAAACCTTAAAGTTTACACCGTCATGAATGAGCAGACTGACGACTAAAAGTAGAATTTCACAATGTCTTCTTTGCTACAGTTTATAAAAATACAAACAAAAAAACATTTTAAAGGAAGGCACCAGTGACAGGCCTGCCTGCGGTCCACGTCTGTCTCCGATAAAAACTGTCCAAGAGGAGAGTGGAAAGACGTCCACAACTGTCTGTGAAAGATCAACAGTTTTCAGCCACAGTTAGAAACAGGGACCTGGGTCTACAGTCCCTGCTGCTCCCAACTCTGACAACTAAAACTGAAGATATTATCTAACCAATCACAAACCTTCAGTATGCACACACACACACTGACACACACACACACACACAGCCAGCCTCGTCCAGGCTGTGAACAGAGCTGTCCCCTGGGCTCCGTCACCTGTCTGGAGGGACGTGAGGCTAAGTGATGGAGGAGGGTGAGCCAAGGACTCATCTGCTCCTCACTGACTAAATGCAGGAGTGGACAGCTGACCTATGACCCTGGCAGGAAGGGAGATTGAGCGCTGCCTCCTGCCTCCATTAGCATTCCGCTCACACAGAGCCAGCTCACCAGCAGCAGTCTAACAGCTCCAGCTCCAGCACCGAGGTGTGGCAACCTGCTCCTGAGCTGTGGAGGAGAAAGATCCAGGAAACCTGAGTGTTTGGATCTCTGCTTCCTCGCTGCAGCACAGCAGGGGAGTTCTGGCTGTCAGAAGACATCATAGCACAAATTCTCCCGCCGCTAATGAGGGAATCACACAGCGATCCGTGTAGGCACGAGCGATTCTAACGTGATTGGATTTTTGAAAGTCTAAAACATGGCAACCTTTTGTCACCTTGCTCATTTTTTTTTCTCTCTCACTTCTCTGGTGACAGTGTGCGTCCTCCACTTCCACATCCACATCAAATACATCCAAAAGACAAATCGACCGTCAGTCGATTCCCTGCGCGTCTCAGCGCCGGCGTATGTATGTGTGAGTGCACAGTGAGATCAAACTGGCAGTGACGGAAACACAGGGACCACATGTGAGCTTCATGAAGGGAATGGATTAACTCTGAGTGGACGGGCTAGAGACGCAACTGATCGGAAAGTCCCGGCCAGTAATGAGGCGGATATTTAAAAAAAAAAGAAGAAGAATTTAAATCTAAAAACCTTCCTGTAGTCAAACAACTTCTCTGACCAACACTGATAGAAGTTGATTTAGCTTTTAGCTAAAGCTTTTAAATTTAAATGTATTTACAGTCTGGTCATTTAAGGCTGGGGTCACCAACAGTTTTCTAACCAAGGACCCCCCCCCGAAACTGATAAAAAGATGGAGGGACTCCTCCCATATGAATTATAATGTACATAACTCTGTTTAAATGTATCTTATTCTGTATTTAACACTGAGATAATCAAATAAATGTCCAGTTTTATACTGATGCTTTTTATCTGTTGAAGACCTCTCAGCTGAGGTTGACAAAGTTGGCCTTTCACTTATGTCAACGTCTAATGAATAAATGAAAGAGAACTCGATGTCACAGTCAGGCCTGAGGATGAGTTGGAAGGTGAAACGATTCACTCCGTTTGTCCTTCCGCCGTCATCCCTAATGTTCACAAAGACCTGGGTTTACCAAGGTCCCGACAGGGCAAATATCTGATCTGCAGGACTAACATGGGACCAGAGCCGACCGACACACCAGCCGCCGTCTGACCGTCCACCAGCTGAGCAACCGTGGACACAGAACTCTATAACGATATAAAAATATTAACATTTAAAGGTAAAGCGCTCTGTTGTTCCAAAGACACAAGTCAAACACAGCTGAAGGTGGTGTGGACGGACTGGTAATTTACCAAAAACTCAAACGCCAGAAACTTTAAATTAAAAGAATATTAACGAAACAAAGACCTTGAAAAATAACTATTGTTTCAAAGAACACACAGTGATCTGGTGGAGCCAAAAAGGCTGAGAGAAAAATCACAAAAGTAGTGAAAACACGGGACAACCCCCACCCCTCCCTGGGTGTATCTATCTGATGCAGTATTTACAGTGCTGGGGTCAGTGCTGCACTGACTTGTGTTAGAGGCTGGGGTTCAGCACCACGGACAGCTCCGTATTTCTCTGTGAAAAAGGTGGGAAGAAGAAAGATGAGAAAGAGGAGGAGAGGTGACGTGAAGGAGATGATGGGTGACTACCGTTTGGTGCTGCTGCGGCTGCTGCTGCTGCTGCTGAAGCTGTGGGTTGTTGGTGGTTGTTGGTGGTTGTTGGTGGCAGGGGTTTCCCCTGGCAGATTTCAGCAGAGAAAGAAGGACAGATCTTTTCCACAGTCATTTCTTCATGGCTGCGCGTTCCCTACCACCTCCTCCGTATATGAGATTTACATACGGAGGGAAACCGTGTGTGTGTGTGTGTGAGAGAGAGAGAGAGAAAGAGAGAGAGAGAGAGAACAGGGCTTTCATGAAATATTGATCGACCCTGCCTCGCACAGGATGGACAGACAGAGAATAGAAGAGAGGAGGGAGGAAGTAAGAAGGAGGAGGAGGAGGAGGAGGGAGAAAAGGGAAGAAGGGAGGGGGTGAGGAGGTGAGGAAAGGAGGAAAGAAGAAAAGGGGGTGGGGGGGCGGGGGTTCCTCATCTGGACAACATGCATCCACCCGGCTACACTCAGCCTCAGCCTCAGCCTCAGCCTCAGCCTCAGCCTCGGCTCCATGTATGACACACAGCAGCTGGGTTTGCCATGTGTGATGGATGAAACATGACGAAGCACACAGAGGACGGAGAGAGAGAGAGGGAGGGAGAGAGAGAGAGAGTGTTGTGTGTGTGTGCCTATATAAATATATGTACATATATATGTACATCTGTTCCTGTGTGTGTGTTCAGTTATTGCTCTCATCTCTCTCCGTTTGCAGTCATATGTCTGGAGCTTTGAAAGCCTTTCAGCAGAAGCACATTTCTAAAACCACAGAGCCACAGATCTGGTCTCCACTTGTCATGACCGACCGACTGCCATTCACAAAATCCGCATCTCTGCATCTCCACTGATTTTTCTTTTTCTTTTTGTCTTTCTTCCCTCACATCACATCACATCACATCATCACTGCTGTGGGTCTACAGGCCGAGGATGCGCTGATCTTCATCTCCTCCACCACCACCACCACCATCACATCCACATCCACCACATCATCCACCTTCAGCAAGTGTCGTGAGGAGCGACACTTGAGAGAGAAAACCCGCTGTGGTCAGCGGGCTTGTCAATAACACGATCTACAGCCGGGGCAGAGCCACGAACACACGATCAGCTGGAACTTCCAGCTGTGACACGCACATACAGCGACATGAATTATTCAATGCACATAAACTGAGGCTGCTTCTTCTGCTTCTTCTCTTCTCTAAAGGCTCGACATGAGAAGACACACAGCCGTGTCCCCCCCCCCCCCCCCCCCCCCCCCCCGCCCATCCCAGCCTCTATGTGTGATATGAGCAAATACCGGTGAGATGAGATGCGCTTTAGAGCCGCGTCGCCTTCAAGAGGCTGCAGGGTAAAAAAAAAATAAAAATAAAAAAACCCGGAGAGATGCTGCTGCCGCTGCTGCTGCTGCTGCTGCCGCCGCCACGCAACATCCAGCCGACATGTAAGAAGATCCGGTGAGGAGATTAATCCACGGAGACATGAGCGAAATGGACGAGCGAGGAGAGGAAACGGTGAAAGGGTTCGGTTTTCGGCGTTTACCTGTCAGGACTCCGACCCGGATTTGGTGGTCATGGTTCGTTAAAATCATCCCGTCTGACGCCATGTTCAGCAGCGCTGCTGTCGCCCGCACCGAGAACTCACGGCAGGGCCCAGAGCCGAGCGCATCGAACTTAGAGGGGAGAGGGAGG